ATTGGACAGGAAGTCCTTATCACAACATCTAGCACTAGGTGTAGTGCAAATTGGCTGGCTTCCAAAGTCATTAGTACATTCATTATACCAGCATTGTGATTGGCTAGTTGGACTACAAATCAGTTGTCAGGCGTCTTGGCTTACAGGATATCCTCCTCGGGCTGTTGACGATAATTATATATACCGGCCTTGGGCTCCTCCGGTACAGTCAACAGCCTCGGAGTATATCCTGTATACACCGCCTCGCCGCTTATACGTTAACTAATACGTATTCTTTCAAGGTAAAGTGTTCGCACACAGAGGGCCAACTTTTGTCAGGGACAATTTAGCCTGCAGTGGCCGCCGACTTAGGCGAAGTATTAAGGGGGAATGGAAAAGACTACGTTTTGTCAGGGAGTTGTAGCTAAGTGTGTAGTGCACGGGCCTCCCAGTCACGATGTCTGAGTTCTTGACAGAAGTTGGTTTCTTTTTCCTTCTGACCCGCTATTTTAACACTATCCTTCACTCACCTTTGGAGGAGGTCTCTTTTCTTTGCCGCACAATGTACATGACAGCTAGTACGATGACAAGAGGGGTGGTCAGGGCAACATACAGTGCCATAGCAGCACTTAGTACCAGTATGTGCCAGGAATCACTGCCTGCACCTGAAACATTTAAACCTAGTCACACTGCTCATCAGTAGACTAATTATAATGTGTATATATAATTTATATATATATATATTATTATATATATACTACTGTATTTATTATAGGGATGACACAGGTTTATCTTGCATTATGCCCACATATTTGAGATCTATTTCCCATGTTTCACTCTTAGCAACTTTTAACGCACTCTTATTCTGCTGTTATTACACATTTGAACTTCTTGGAAAATGGGCACACTGGGACTGCATGAGTGTTATTAGTTTGGTTAAAGGTGCATGGGAAGCTGGAGCTTTTTCCTGTTCCTAAGAATGGTGCATATAGCTAAGGAAGTGCGGACTAGTATATACAATATTATGTAGGTAACTTAGAGTACTCTAAAATGATATCATAACTGTTTGTGAGGATTTGTAAGCATGCAATGAAGTAGAGTAGAGTTATAAAAACTGGGGTTATTTACCTTGTGAACAGTTATCTCTTTCACCGTCTCTTCCATTTGTGTCTACAAAGATGGACCATGCAAAAGTCAGTAAAACCAAATGAAGAGAGATTAACACGTTAAAACAATCGCTTTGGGGAGTGAACGCAAGAGTCATTCACACATGGTATATATACACAACAATAATTATTACAACTGTATTTATCAACACAAGGCTTGGTTTTTACTTTATACAGATGTGGCTTTCAGAAGTACATTCTGTAACATCGACCTTGTGGTGTGCTGTATCATCTAAACCTGCCTATAAAAGCTCCCATAATCTGATATGCCAATTAGCTATAGTTACTTGTGTACTATATGATTGCCAGAGGTATTATACTCCAAACACACTAACCCAGAGTGGTGGTCACTTTCTCAAGAAATAACTTTATCCTACTAGTAGCTCACGATTTCTTGGTACTGAGCATGCAGATACACAACATGAAAGCTAAGGGATAATTGCCTGGTAGCTAGTTCGGTAGGAACTTCAATGGCCAGAGGCAAAGTAACATAATAGTCAATAAGCATGTTCTCTGAAACTACATGAAATAAGCTAGTATTTGGAGTAGCTTTAACCTTGCAAAAGCGGTATAAAAATACTACGACTTGGTAGTTACTTAGGAATTGTGTTAGTAAGAAATCAATGTCCCAAGAGACTATACACTGTTGATATTAATCAGAGTAGCTGTAGCCAAAAGCCTAAAATCACCTGTGATAGTCAGATAGGCCTCTGGGCTCTCAACGCTGCTTTGTTGATGCACAGCCTGACATCGCACGCGGGTGGAGTGGTACTGCTCGGAGACGGGAAAAGTGACCGAACTGTAGAACAAGACGTCTCTGGGGATCCTACGAACGTCTATTGCACCGTCGTATGCGCTTGATTCCAACCGAGAGCCGTTGATGATCCACTTTATGTCCTCGGCTTTGGCGGTGCAGGAGAAAGTCACGGTTCTTTGCACGTCCACAACATGGGACACGGGGCCTTGCAGAATAGCTGCACGTAAAGAGTCTCAGCGCGGGGCGGCGACGTATAGCGGTGACTTACCTGGCGCCTGGGCGTCAAGCTGCGCATTCGCAAGTCCTGCAAACAAAAAGGCGACAAGAAGCTGCATTGTACGACCTCCAAAATATCCGGAAGTAAATAATAATGCATAATAGTGCTGTGCCTAGCTAGCCCCCTCACGGCTGTTTCGATTGCGCGTTTTCGGGACATTAAAGTACGATGCAAGCATCGACATCTTCTCTTTTGGTGTCGTGGCCATTTTCACACTCTGCCAAACCTTCCCCTGCGACTTGCTAGCTCCCACCTATCGTGACGAACGACGAAGAATAGTTGGTCTGAACTGAGCTAGAGCGACGAGAGAGATACATGAGGATGATCTACAGGCAGCTACGCGAGAAGCATCCTCTCCTCCAGATGATCGAGGGGTGTCTGGACTTCCCTGAAGACCGGCCGAGCATTCGTGAGGTGCTGCGTCTGTTGGAGGAGGCCAGAGCTGAAGTGAGAGACGAGCAGACAGACATGAACAAACTGGAGCTGTTGCGAGCTCTTCAGACCCAGCCCAGGAACCAGGTGAGGGACTGTGTGTGCTGTAGTGAGAGAGTGTTGCCAGTTGACTTGTGTTTGTTATTAGGAGAATGTTGAGCTAGAGGGACAGCTGAGGAGAAAGGAAGCAGAGTTAGCTGAGGCCCAGGGCCAACTGAGACAGAAGGTGAGTATGAGTCATGTTTAGTTGCAAGTCAATAAATTCTCTCTCTTTCTGACTGCAGGAGGAACAGCTAACAATAGCTCAGCAGTCTTTACAATCAAGAAACCTCGAACTAGGACAGAAAGTAAGTGTCAAAGATTGTGGCAATCTTTGCTCTCTATAATTTGCAGGAAGAACTGCTACAGTCCAGCGAAAGGGAGAAATAGATTGTTGTACAACAAATCCAATCCAAGAACCAGGTGAGGGACCTTTTATTCAGTCATATAATATTCAAATGAAGGGTTGGCTACTAAAGGAGAATGCTGAGCTCCAGCAACAACTAGAATCCAGTGAGAGAGAGAAACAGACAGTCAGACAACAGCTGATCAGCTCACAGAGACGGGTTAGTCAAGTCTGTGGAACTAATGCAGTGTAACGAGGTCCTCCTGACTGCAGGAGACTGAGTTAGTGCAGGCCAAGGACAGGGAGCTAAGAGAGAAGGCGACATTGCTAACAAGGAAGGAGAGAGAGTTAGCTGAGACTCAGCAGCAACTGAGACAGAAGGTGAATAGTGATAACTGCAGGATGTGTCATGTTTTGTGACTAGAGGTCCTCCTGACTGCAGGAGGAACAGCTGCGATCAAGTGAGGCTCTAGTGGCTGACTTCCAGAAGGCCCTCCAGCAGAGACACTCTGAGACTCAGAGAACAAAGGTAAACAATCTTTATTAATTGGCTATGAATCATATCCATGAATATTGCTCCGTGTTTCCACCCTCTTTTGTCAGACCCAGCCTGCTCACCTAGCAGCAGGTGTACCCCATGCCATACCACCTGTAGTTAAACCACGAAAGGTAGGCAATATTAATATTGATAACTGTTGTGGTAGAGTATCAGGACGCCTTTAGAAATGTCTAGAAATTTACTGATTGTGTTGGTGTCTGGTTGTATGGCGCATTCATACACTATACACTATAAAGTGGGTGTGGCCCATGCGTCACAAAGGTCTGTGAATACATGCTCTAAACTGGCCACTACGTTTCACGTACGTATGTAGCACCCGCCGTAGTATATACCGTAGACTATTTACTCCCTCGGCGCGCATGCGCAGCGAGGGTTACGGTAGTTGGGGTCTGTCTGTTACTCTTCATGTCACTTGTCCAGCGTTCGTTCGTCTCACAAAGGATACCACCTACTTAACGGGCATTGAAGGTCAGAAATTTTGAATGGTTTTCCCTGAAAACGCTCCGCTGCAAAGCTAGAGCGCTTCCCTCGACCGGGTCCGCTTGCTCTGTGTATCTTGAAGGCACAAGAAGTCACAACGAAGGGCGTGTATCGACTCTCGCATGCTATCTACTACTGTAGCTAGCCCGTGTCAGATTCTCTGCGAGCTACTAGCGGGAGACCACGAGTAAACGCATATATCATTACTAATAGGCAATAGCCCAGCCATCACTAGCAGTATCGCGCACGCGCAGTTCGCCGAGGGTTTGCACTTTGATTAACCCTCGGCGCGCATGCGCAGCGAGGGTTACGGTAGTTGGTTTGTCTGTCTGTCCGGTCCGTCTGTCTGTCTGTCTGTCTGTCGTGTGTGTGTGTGTGTCGACGCTTATTCTGGCACTACAGGCTACGAGGCGGCCAATTAGCGATATATCAGCGGCTTCAGAACTACGCGAGCCTGAAAAACCTGAAACGACAGCGTTCGAGAGATATGCCATGAAAACAAGCGAAAAAGCTAATCGCACTGGGCTTACCGCGACCTGATCCGCTCGCTCTGTGTATATACCTTGGAGGCTCAGGAAGTCACAACGAACGGCATGTATCGACTCCCGCATGCTATCTACTTACTACTGTAACTAGCCTGTGTCAGACTCTCCGCGCGCTACTAGCGGGTGACCATAATAGCCCAGCCCATCAATTAGCAGTATCGCGCATGCGCCGTTCGCCGAGGGTTTGCACTTTAGTGCATTATGTAATTTTATCGTGTCATTCATACAAAAAAGTGTGTGCACGTGGAAAATAATTAATATTTAAGCCCATTCAATATGTTTGACACATGTGCAAACTGAACACATGTGTGCAGCCATAGTGTTACATTCTGAGGTCCAGTTTTGATGATTATGATGTCATTACATGTCATGTGATCTCCCCTCAGCTTACTGTGCAGTGTCATCGTAGGAAGAAGACAGCACCATGTGGAATGAGGAGAGGATCTGCAACAACTGATGGTCGATTTGCATACTTCACCCCTCGTGGCTCCAACTCAGTCTACCAATATGAATGTAGTACAGAGAAATGGGAGGAACTTCCTTCATGTCCATATCAGGACTCTGGACTAGTCATCATTGACAGGGAACTAACTGCTGTGGGGGGATGGGATGGATCTCTTGTACTAACAAACTATACACACTACGACAGAGGAAATGGGTTGAGAAATACCCTCCAATGAACACTGCACGTTCCGACACTGCTGTAGTTACTACATCTGATGGCGAATACCTCATTGTGATTGGGGGGTCTGTTGGTGGTGTTGGACTGCTACAGTTGAACTATTTCAAGTGAAGAGCAGAAGATGGTACCAACTAACAGACTTACCACAACCTCTCCCCTCCCTTCAGCCACAATATGTGGTGATCAGTTGAATGTGATAGGAAACTGATGCTAATGGCTACTCGTGTTCTCTTGCAGCCCTACCATCCAGTGATCAACCAATCACATCACCTCTCACCCTATCCTGGAAACCTCTCCCTCCTCTACCAGTGACATTCTCAACAGCTGCCACTCTCTGTGGACAGCTAGTACTCATTGGTGGCAGGCGAGGTTGGGTCACCAGTCAACTCCATTCACCAGCTAGTGGATGGACAGTGGGTGGAGATTGGCTCTATGACTAGTGGTAGGAGCTGGTGTTTAGTAGCCAGTACATCACCTGACAAGATCATCATAGTGGGTGGAGATATAGTTGAAGAATGTGTTGTTGTATAGTTTCATGCACTTTTGTGTCCATTATCTCATAATACACAACATTTCAACTCTCAAAACAGTTGGAGACATTGTGTGTGTGTCACTGTTTTTTGTACAAGAATGATGTAATGATGATGTAATGTCTATTTCATTTTGGCCATGAGATCGTTCATGTCAAGCGAGACAGCAATTCTCTTGCGGTTCACAGCAGGTGCTGCAAAACAGATCCTGTCGGGGGAAAAATGGCTTACAATGATATTAATTTTGCATGTGTATTAACAGACACTGTACATATGTACCATAATGTTCTAGCTACATACAGTGATACTAAACATGTGTGAAAACAGCCATAGGTGTTGGTTGAAGGTATTTACTTTTCGCTCTAATAGATGTTCTGTTCTCAGTTTTCTCATATATTTCAAGGACGAAATGAACCATTTTTGGCACCTCTTTTTTCATTGGGCAGTCTTACTTCACATGTCAGAGATCTTCACACAATGTATGAGGCCAAACTCACTTTTTGAATTGCTCCAGTTTATCATCATAGTCACCAGACAACTCCTCTGACGGCAGATCTAAAAAGGAGTGAGGAAAGGATTAAAATGCTTACTACACCATAAAAGGATATGGCTTAGGCAAGTGTTTCGTGGAAAGTCAAGGCCAGATGCTAAACGCTTCGCTGATAGAATAAAGTCGCAAGCTTAGGCACTCCGATTCATAAGCCGCTAGCAAAAAAAAGAGTTGAGGTTCTACCAAGATTTGTGATATCCTAAGGTGCCTTCTTCACTCTGTCAGGAGAAAAGCCAGCCACTGCCTAGATTGCGGAAAATCCCCATATTATGTGTGTAACATCGGGCAATGCACATATCGTAATGTTTACGTGATTCTAATTTCACACTGAAAAATCAAACTACATGTATGTTGCATTCCTTCTAAATTGAGAAATGTTACTAAAGGTAGAAAAAAGTGTGACGCTGTAGTCTTACCATGGTGGGTGTGGCTACCTGGGCCAGTTTTATTGCCAGACGACCTGTCGTCATCTTCTCTCTCCTCACACACTGACACACCCAATAACCCGTCATGTGACTTGTGGGTGTGGCCACCACTTTCCTCCTCTGTTGTTGCCGGGAGTGACGGTTGCTAGGGAACCGTAAAAGGGATGTAATTAAGAAGCAACTGGAAGAGACATTTTTCTTTCATGAATCTTTTTCGTCTTTTTCTTTTTCTTCCCAGGCTTGGAGGTGTGGTTGGTAGTCATGGAGACAGACGTGACTCCGCCCCCCTCTCCCTCCTCGTCTCCCTCAATAAAGGCAAGTTGTTCATCCAGTGGCCGAGAGTCAGTCTCACTGCAGTTGTGTTGGGGATTATCTGCAAGAATGGGAAGCACACGAATTTCATGAAGTTTACGCAATTTGGTATGCTTTGCTAGCAGGCTGATCATTTCTCTGAATTTCAAAAGGTATCTATTGTACGTATTCGCAACGGTGTTTGTGTTTACATGCCTGCCTTTCAAAAAAGGCAGGGCAAACCTCATTTTTTGTCTGAACACACATAACTTGTGTCTAACTGTGCAGTCCACACTCACAGGGTCTGTTTAGTTCCTTCTCTCTCCTCTTCCCCTCCAGCTTATGCCTCATCTTGTCTCTGTGCTTCGTGAAGTTGTGACTGGTCGGCACCGGAGGAGGCTGTGCAAAACATATGGAAAACTTTGGACGGATAAAAATTTACATCAAGAAAACATCCAACGGATAAAAAATTTACATTGAGAAAACTTTGGACAGATAAAAATTTAAATTGCAAACGTCAAACTTTTCTCTGCAAGTATTTTTGCAGAAGTAAGGAATCTGCAAAAGGAACTTTCGCGGTTGCTATTACTGAATGGAAATCTCTCCAACTATACGACATGCTACACATGTGATACTCACTGTAGTCAAAGCATGTACAACATAGCAGGGGCAAGTTAACATCATAATGTAGTAAACAATACTCTACTATAGATTGTTAACCTCTCACCCCATTGTTTCCAAATAGTTCACAGTAGCAACAGGGACAGTATCGTCTTGACGACCCCACCCCTCCTCCTCCTCCCCCTGCCCTGGTCGTTACCAATGACGATGATGTCGCGGTGCCGTTAGCAACACTGGTAGCTACAGTAGAATGGCGACGAACATCTACATGGTAACCAGGAAGGACATTTGACAATACATTATATAATCAACCTGTTTCTACATACACATCATCCGGCTTTCAATTAAAAAGAGGGCTTAGCTCATTTGTGTCATTGTCACAACTTTCACAAATGGTAAGCACTGAAGTCCAAACCCTCGGCGAACTGTGCATGCATGACACCGCTAACAGACGGGCTGGGCTATTTGTACGCGTTTGCTCGTGGTCACCCGCTGGTAGCTCGCGGAGAGTCTGAGGCAGGCTAGCTACACAACTTGATAGCATAATTATGCAGGAGTCGATACACACCCTTCGTTGTGACTTCTTTTATTTCCTTCTTCCTTCCCCCCTCTCTCTCCCCCTCTCCTTTTTTCTTCCTTCTACAATTCACTCTCTACTAAAGCTACTACTACAGCTAAACACCCTTCCATCCTGCCTCTGCAGGTGGTAAAGCAAATTGAACTGAAAATTGTCAAAACTAACAAGCAACCCTGCAAAAATATCCCTGGTATCCTCAAATTCAGTGAGAAAATCAACTAAAACTTCCGTCAGTCTACCACCGCCTGCACAAAGAACACAATTCCAGCATAACCCTATTTTACCACGTGTCCTACGTGTCCCGACTGTATGAAGTGAAGGCAAACGAACTATATACACATGGGACAACCAGCGAAACCCACATGTCCTGCGTTCTACACCAAAGGTGCATATTTGTGCCAGTCAGACACTCAGACACACAGACATGAACAAATGGTAACTTGAACACATGATCAGGTTTGTACCAAGTGAGAGTGTACTGTGCCACAGTTACTGAGGTTTGCCCTTTTGTTGAAGATTTGAACAACTACACCTGCTGAGTTGCCCTACATACTAGGACAGCTCTTTTCGCTGGTTGTCCCATGTGCAGTTGATTTGTTTGCCTTCACTTCACACAGTCGGATGCACACAATAAACGTGCCACTAGCAAACTAAATCTGACTGCTCAAATCACTGATAATAAGTGTACGTACGAAGCCATCAATTATATGTCAGGAAGAAATGTAACACCATTAACTAGTGGGCTACATGTATATATACACTATATAGCTTGCCGGATTGTCTTACTATTGTTGTGGCTGGCCTGACACATCCCATAGCTCACAACAGAAGTAATGCAATTAATTATGAATATTATGATCATTCTTTTAGCGCTGTGCATGATAAACTAATCCTACGGCAAAAGTTGCAATTCTGAACTAAGCCTGCCGCACACGTAATTATTATGATCAAAACACAGGATAATGGTCCAATTAAGACAATATCTACAACAACAGAGTGTATAAATAATATACGGTACAGTGGGTCTGAGCCCGCTATTGTGCATAAGGAAGTCACGTATTTTAAATACACACCAACAATATATCATTCCTTCATCTTTGAAACGCACATTGTATAATGAACCTTGGAGCTGCAGAAGATTTGCTATTGGTTAGAACGCTTGCTATTCGGAAGACTTAAAGCACATGAGGAACGGCATATGTGTGTAATAGGTGGCATCACTACCAGGCTTGAATGCAGTTTTTAGGCTTGCGTAGCTGCTTGTATCGCTAATAGGCTGCCTCGTGGCCTGTAGTGCCAGAATAAGTGTCGACAGACACACAGAGACCCACTACTGTAACCCTCACTGCGCATGCGCTCCAAGGGTTAATAACATAGAAGGGTTTACCCATTGCGCATGTCTTGATGGGAGTGGTGATGGTGGTGAATGTGGTCATACGTCTGTAATGGAGAGTTGTCATGCCAACTTTACCAGAGATCATCACACATGGTACTACAGCACTTCTCTTCTCTCAGTTAGTAGAGTTGAAATACACCTCATAATGAATGACACCTCTCTGTTGGCTTATACTTGTATTGCCCTCAAGCACCTTTGACAATTTTTGATGTCCACTTATTTCAGGGGATTTGCTGTAGTTGCTAACTGTACAAGTGGAAAAATCATTTCTTCAAAATGAAAGGGGGATATAGGGATGCTTAAAGCACCAAAAAGGAAGAAACAGGGGTCATTACACAGACAAAGTTGCACAAGCTACATGACACCATCCCTATATCTTTGTTTTATTGTTTATAAGCAAAGTTTCCCCTGAGCTAAGTATACATGCAAGGAAACCTCTATTGCAGAGCCGTATATAACAACAAGATATAGGGATGGTGTCATGTAGCTTTGTGCAACTTTGCTGTGTAAATGACCCTTGTTTCTTCTTTTTGGTGCTTCAAGCCATCCCTATATCCCCCTTCATTTGAAGAAATGATTTTTCCACTTGTTTCCACTATTTTTAACAGCTTATGACAACACTGATTCTCACTGAGTTTTTAGTCGTTTTGTACGCGGATCACGTGAGATTTCACCCGTGTCATCCCTATATAGAGAGTCTACCGACTCTCTAATATAGTGGCAAGAAATGTCTGAATGTTTGTCACATTTTGCTGCAACGTTTAAAAGTTGCACTCAGTAGTATGAAACGTAGTACTTCCATTGTGAAAAAATTGACTGTAGTTTTAAGTCAAAAGAATGTGTTGCAAACATTTGCACAAAAGTAGGTGGAATAATGCCTCAAGTTTTCCCACAACACACTATTCTCATTACCTCCTCCTCCACCCAGGGTCTTGGAGTTCCATTCAACATCGCCAGCTACTCTCTACTGACATACATGATAGCTCACGTCTGCAACCTCAAGGTAGCCACGCCCCCCTCATAAACCTATGACATCATAATTAAGTCCCTCTCCAGCAGTAGACTTTGTACATACTCTAGGAGATGCACATGTCTACCTCAACCACATCCAACCCCTCAATATACAGGTTTGTGGGTTATAATAATTGGCTTATCGCATTGTCTGCTTCCAGTAAAACCTTATTCCACCATTTCTAAATACACTCCTGAAAATATAGACACTTACAGTAACAGTTCTTGCATGCAATTTAACCCCTGAAATGCGGACACCTTACTTTCTTCTCCCTATCAGTGTCAGGATTAGAGGGGTTCCACTGTATAATGAACGTACCAAAACTTGCTAAACAGACCCTGATTGAATTTGTGGTAATAATAACCCCATGGTAATGAGAGGGGCAGTGTGTCATTCCCCCATTCCTGTCCCCAGCTGCAGCGGAGCCCGAGACCATTCCCGAGACTGGAACTGAGAAGACAGGTCTCCGACATCGACAAGTTTGTTTACGATGACATCATTCTCCATGACTACCTTCCTCACCCCTAGATACACATGGACATGGCTGTCTAGCATCTTTCCATGTTGATAAATACTGTATTACCTTCAGCGAATGAAAAGCACTAAAGTGCAAACCCTCGGCGAACTGCGCATGTGCGGTAACACTAATTGATGGGCTGGGCTTTTTATGCCTTTACTCGTGGTATCCCGCTAGTAGCTCGCGGAGAGTCTGGCACGGGCTAGCTACAGTAGTAAATAGCATGCGGGAGTCGATACATGCCCTTCGTTGTGACTTGTTGTGCCTTCAAGACACACAGAGCGAACGGACGCGGTCGAGGTAAGCCTGTGCTAATTTACATATTGGCTTGTTCACTTGGTTTTCACGCCATAACTTTAAAACACAGTAGTTTTACGAAAATCGCCTTTTTTAAAATCAGCCCAGTGTAGCACTGAACCCGATCATATCGGTATTTACCTGATTTCGTGCGCGCGGTGGCAGAAAACGTGGTAACAGACAGACGGACTGACGGACTGACGGACTGACACACTTACGGGGACAACTACCGTAACCCTCGCTGCGCATGCGCGCCGAGGGTTAATAATTACGCAGGAAATGATATTTACAACCGCTAAGTGGTCATGCATAATCTCCAGGGAAACGAGCCCACCCTGAATAGTTTGAGCAATGGCAGAGTTGCTGCGCGACAACGCAGAGCTGCGGCAGTTTCTTCTCTCCAATGTACAGCTAACTGGCGTGAGAATCGGCGCCGGAGCCTATGGCAGCGTGGAGGAGGTGGCCGTGCCTGGAGCCATCTGCGCAGCTAAAAGGATCCACGAAGTCTTCCTGGACCGCTCCGAGATCCCTGTGACCGAGATCCACAAGTCGGCCGCCCAGTTCGCGAAGGAATGTCAGCTGATGAGCACCCTCCGCCACCCGAACATAGTCCAGTTTCTTGGCTTGTATTTCCTGCCCGGCTCGCGACTGCCGGCCCTCGTCATGGAGCGACTGCTGACGAGTCTTCACGACTTGCTGGACGCAGAAACCGACACCCCTCCCTCGCCCGACGCGCCCAAGCCCTTCTTCCCGCTGAGCCTAAAGTGCTCGATCCTGCACAACGTGGCGAGCGGCCTGACCTACCTCCACGAGCGATCGCCGCCCATCATCCACCGCGACTTGTCTGCCAGAAACGTTCTCCTGAACTCGGGGATGGTGGCCAAGATAGCGGACCTGGGCGTGGCTCGTATCGTGCCTCGTATGCGAGTTGCAGCCACCATGACAAAGGGACCTGGGGCCATAGTTTACATGCCTCCAGAGGCCATGGAAAGCAAACTTGAGGAGGAGAATGAGGAAGAGAAAGACAAAACGTCAAAGTACGATGCAAGCATCGACATCTTCTCTTTTGGTGTCGTGGCCATTTTCACACTCTGCCAAACCTTCCCCTGCGACTTGCTTGCTACTGCCTATCGTAAAGGTGGTCGTTTGCTTGGTAGAACTGAGCTAGAGCGACGAGAGAGATACATGAGGATGATCTACAGGCAGCTACGCGAGAAGCATCCTCTCCTCCAGATGATCGAGGGGTGTTTGAACTTCCCTGAAGACCGGCCGAGCATTCGTGAGGTGCTGCGTCTGTTGGAGGAGGCCAGAGCTGAAGTGAGAGACGAGCAGACAGACATGAACAAACTGGAGCTGTTGCGAGCTCTTCAGGTGAGGGACTGTGTGTGCTGTAGTGAGAGAGTGTTTCCAGTTGACTTGTGTTGGTTATTAGGAGAATGTTGAGCTAGAGGGACAGCTGAGGAGAAAGGAGGCAGAGTTAGCTGAGGCCCAGGGCCAGCTGAGACAGAAGGTGAGTAGCGTACACTGCAAATTATCGACAGGCTAGTGTACCTGATAGTGTTGTGCAGCACTAGAACCTCCTTTGAAACCGGTTCTTTTTCCTAGACAACGATAACTTAACGTCAACTATTCTAAGCGCCCCTAAACGCATAATATTGTAAGCGCTCAGCGCCGTCTCCAACCACCTCAGTTTACCGTTTATCGGAACGCTGTACGTATTATCGGCTTCCAATACATTTCTCCCATACCAAATATTGGCACTCACTACTTGGTGACCAGTAAAAGGTGCTGCGCAATAAATAGAAAGGTACTGTACGTTTTATGCACTACAGATAACGTAGTTTGTGCATTGTATGTTGTAAAAACAATGAAACTTTGTGGGGAAAACATGTTATTCAGCAAATATATCAATACACAATGGGCATAGCCTTTCTTTTCCGGTGTTATCCAAAACACAGTCCTCCATACACTCCTCGTGAAGCCACCTGCCGCAAGCACAGCCAACCCAGTCCTTTCCTGTCTTGTTCAGAACGTCATCTTCATATGTTATGAAACATACGCAGCACCGACTGTCGTCAATGGCTTCATCTGCAACTCGGGCCTTCTTAGTTGGTGGCTGTTCGCTTGATCGTCTAGTGCTGCTTGTGGATGTGTTATGATTACCGGTGGTGTTCGGTGGGTTTTGCACTTTCTCTTTCTGTTTGCAGGCCTTTTGTGCCGCCTTTTTCGACTTGTCTTTGGCTTTTTCTACCGCTCTTCTTCCTCATTCGTCTGATTTTCGTTTTCGTTTTTCCTCTCTCTTTCGTTTATTGTCCTTCCTCTCCTTTTTTTCCTGCTCTTTCTCCTGTAACATATCCAACGCCCCAGTGCAGGTCAGTAAACGTGCTCATGGCAGTGCTTTCTTTGGTCCACAAGGTGTTGAAGCTGCTGGTGCCACTAAGAACTTGGAAAGAGCACTGTCCTTCTCTTTACTTGAGCTGGTTGCAAAAGAACTAGTGGACAAATATGTAGAGGTTGAGGCAGAGGAAGATGCACCACCAGACGCTTGGGCAGAGGAAGACACGCCACTAGATGAGGCAGAGGAAGATACAAACATCCGAAGTCACAGGGGATTGTGGGACGATGGCTGAAAACTGTTCAGAGAGTGAAGGCTCTGGTCCTTTTGAGGTCAAAGGCGAAGTTGATGTAGGAGAAGTGTTCGGATGATGTAGTTTCACCCATGCCTGGTAGACCGGATCAGGTAGATCAAACCCCTCATTATAACGACGTTCAAAGCACTCAACTTCTTCAGCAGATAAGTTTTCCAAGCTAACAGCTGTTTAATGTGTGTTCGTAGCCGAGCTGGCAGGAACATTGGAATTTTTTGTTAAAGTCTGTGTGTGGAGCAGAAGGCATGGCGGGAACAGGAGTAGTCTCTACATTGCTCACCAACCCAGCGGTAGTGTTATTACTGGACGATGCTTCTGACTCGAGGGCACCAGGAAGGTACAAACATCCGAGTTTACGTCGTCAGTGAGAGTGAGAACATTTGGGTCCACGGATACAAACCGGCTTTTCGAAACCCACCAATTATGTTTACAGGTGTCACAGCTCGACACCAGGCATGAGAGAAGAGGCGTGAAAAATTATATTTTGTCACCACACTGCCAGGGTTTTGCTGATAGAATGCATGGCACACTCTAGTCCACTGCACCTTTAACGGAGCGAACACACCGACATCAAGGGGTTGAGCTTCGTGAGTCGTGTGAGGAGGCAGGCACAGGATGATGCAGTTGTGCTCCACTGCAAGACGGATTACTTGTGGTTGGTAGTGTGTGCAGTGACCGTCAAGCAATAGGAACAGTGGACGTGCTGATACTGCGTTCTCAAGGAAATGCTCATGAAACCAGGCCTCGAAAAGGTCTGTGTTGATCCATCCGTTAGAGCTAAGGCCATACTTTGTGCCAGGCACCTCATCTCTGGTCCATGCAGGGTTTAACCTCGCTGCATCGTATATGATCATAGGAGGTATAGCCTGCCCACTCGCATTGGCACACCCGACCACAGTCACCTGCCCTTTACGCCCAAAGGTACGGTACCGTACCTTCTTTGTTACTCTTCCCTTGGTTGTGACGACCTTTGGTGGGCGTGAATTTAGAGGGACACCAGTTTCGTCTACGTTGTAGATCTGCGAGGGCTTGTTCAGAAGGCCATGTGTTGTCAATGTCTCGCGCAGTAGCATAAAGTAGTGGTAAATTGTCTCCCGGTTCATGGCGTCCATCCGGACGTGAGCAGTGCTGTCCCCCTGCCGCAACGACAAGTCACCCTGACGCTCCTTGAATCGTCTCCACCAGCCATCAGACACATGGCTGGACCGCAGTTTACCACTCTCGTTGACAGCAGATTCGACAATACAGAGCACATCCCTCCTCGTTTTTCCATACCCAACTTTGGCACAGTGCTTTAGGTAGCCACCTAGCTCTTTCTCCTCTGTCTGACTGAGGTACGGTTCGGGGCCTGGCTTTACACCGTGGACAACTCTTCCGCTAACGCGGTCATATAATGTACTCCTAGGTACGTCGAAATCCTGTGCCGCTTTACTGACAGACACACCTTCTTCGACTGCCTTGAGAGCTAACAGCATATTCTCTTCGGTCCACTGCTTTCGCTTTCCAGTCCTGGACGGTGGAAGACGCACAGCAGCAGGAGCAGAATGCGATCGTTTCCGAATGGCGAAGGACTTCCTTCTGCAGGGTATTTTGGTCAGTTAGGCTACATAAGGAGAATAACCAGTTTATGCAGGTTTTTCCAGTCTCGGTTTTGAGGTAACTCACCCGTAGGAGCAAAGAAACTGAGAAAAGCTGAGTGCAAACAAGGGCCGAAAAAAGCAACGTGTCGTCCTCCGTATACTTCACCGCACACTGGACGTAAATTAGACGTGCTCTTCGCGCGTTGTGCGTTGTCGATAATAGGTAGAGTCCGATAATTGGCAGTGTACGCTATGAGGTATGTTTAGTTGCAAGTCAATAAATGCTCTCTCTTTCTGACTGCAGGAGGAACAGCTAACAAGAACTCAGCAGTCTTTGCAATCCAGAAACCACCAACTAAGACAGAACGTAAGTGTTCAAAAGTATTGTGTGGCAGTTTTATGGTTTATAATTTTGCAGGAAGAACTGCTGCAGTCCAGTGAAAGGGAGAAACAGATTGTTGTACAGCAACTGCAATCCAACAACCAGGTGAGGGACCGTTTATTCAGTCATATAATATTCAAATGAAGGGTTGGCTACTAAAGGAGAACGCTGAGCTCCAGCAACAACTGCAATCCAGTGAGAGAGAGAAACAGACAGTCAGACAACAGCTGATCAGCTCACAGAGACAGAACGGAGAACTGAGACAGAGAGTTAGTCAAGTCTGTGGAGCTAATGCATTGTAACAAGGTCCTCCTGACTGCAGGAGACTGAGTTAGTGCAGGCCAAGGACAGGGAGGTAAGAGAGAAGGCGACATTGCTAACAAGGAAGGAGAGAGAGTTAGCTGAGACTCAGCACCAACTGAGACAGAAGGTGAATAGTGATAACTGCAGGATGTGTCATGCTTTGTGATTAGAAGTCCTCCTGACTGCAGGAAGAACAGCTGCGATCAAGTGAGGCTATAGTGGCTGACTTCCAGATCCAGCGGAGAGACTCTGGGCCAACTCAAAGGACAAAGGTCAGTCTTACTGGCTGTGAATCGTATTCGTGAATATTGGTTTTTCTCGTACCCAGCCGGCAGCAACAACTGTGTCACATTCCTTACCACCTGCATTTACACGACGAAAGGTATGCAACAATAACGTTGCTAACTACCATCATGTTGTGGTAGGGGTGTTGTTAAGACACCATGGGTATCTCCTTAAATAAGCAGAAATACTGACTATTAAATTCTTATGCGTGTATTATTTATGTGTCCGTGGCTTCCTAAGGGTTTTAACTAAGGCTAACAATTCTTTATTCTATAAGGCCCAGAGAGACTCTGGGACTCAGAGAACAAGGGTAACAATTCTTTATTCGAATCATATCCGTGAATATTGCTCTGTGTTTCCACCCTCTTTTGTCAGATCCAGCCTGCTCCCCTAGCAACAGCTGTACCCCATGCCATACCAACTGTAGTTAAACCACGAAAGGTAGGCAACATTAACATTGATAACTGTTGTGGTAGAGTATCATGAGGCCTTTAGAAATGCCTAGAAATTTACTGATTGTGTTGGTGTCTGGTTGTATGGCGCATTCATATACTATACACTATGGGATACCAGTGCACATACATACACTATGGGAGAGAATGAATACCAGTGCACAACTTGGCACATGACACAAAATGGTTCCATCACCATCATGTGCAGTGGTGTTCTCTGCCTTCTACGGTAGACACACAACCAAAATTATTAGAAAGTGGGTGTGGCCCATGCGTCACAAAGGTCTCTGAATACATGCTCTAAACTGCCCACTACGTTTGCACGTACCATACATATGTAGCACCAGTACTGTATGTAGACTATTTACTCGTTATTCATTACGTAATCTTACTGTGTCATTGGTATAAAAAGTGTATGCACATGGAAAATAATCAGATTTGAGACTCTGCCAGAGTCACTGAAAGAGGTGAGCGTTGCCACGTGCAAGTCTGGTCGTGCCACGTGTAGAAGACAGAGAGTAGTCGCACACTTTTTTCTCTCCCATAGAGAATGTATGGAGGGCGTGAATTTTGAGCCTGCAAACTAGCTGCCTAGCCTGCAATCAATTATTATTATTTACGCCCAATCAATTTGCATGACACATGTGCAAACAGTACACACGTATGCAGCCACAGTGTTACATTCTGAGGTCCAGATTTAACGATTATGATGTCATTACATGTCATGTGATCTCCCCTCAGCTCACTGTGCAGTGTCATCGTAAGAAGACAGCACCACGTGGAATGATCAGAGGATCTGCAACAACCGATGGTCGATTTGCATACTTCACCCCACGTTACTCCACCTCAGTCTACCAATATGAATATAGTACAGAGAAATGGGAGGAACTTCCTTCATGTCCATATAAGAACTCTGGACTAGTCATAGCTGACAGGGAACTAACTGCTGTAGGGGGATGGGGTGGTGAATCTCGTTATACTAACAAACTATACACACTACGACAGAGGAAATGGGTTGAGAAATACCCTCCAATGAACACTGAACGTTCCGACACTGCTGTAGTTAGTACATCTGATGGTGAATACCTCATTGTGATTGGGGGGCTTGGTGGTTTTGATTGGATTGCTACAGTTGAACTATTTCAAGTGAAGAGCAGAAGATGGTACCAACTAACAGACTTACCACAACCTCTCACCTTCCCTTCAGCCACAATATGTGGTGATCAGTTGAATGTGATACGAACTGATGCTAACGGCTACTCGTGTTCTCTTGCAGCGCTACAATCCTGTGATCAACCAATCACATCACCTCCCACCCTACCCTGGAAACCTCTCCCTCCTCTACCAGTGACAGGCTCAACAGCAGCCACTCTCTGTAGACAGCTAGTACTCATTGGTGGCTGTCGAGGTGGGTCATCAGTCAAGTCCATTCACCAGCTAGTGGATGGACAGTGGGTTGAGATTGGCGCTGTGACTACTGGTAGGAGCATGTGTTTAGTAGCCAGTACATCAACTGACAAGATCATCATAGTGGGTGGGCATGGATCACCTGACAGTACTGTTGAAGAATGTGTTGTTGTATTGTTTCATGCACTTTCTGTGTCCATTATCTCATAATACACAACATTTCAACTCTCAAAACAGTTGGAGACATTGTTTGTGTGTGTCACTGTTTTTTGTACAAGAATGATGTAATGATGATGCAATGTATATTTCATTTTGGCCATGAGATCGTTCATGTCAAGCGAGACAGCAATTCTCTTGCGGTTCACAGCAGGTGCTGCAAAACACAGATCCTGTCAGGGGAAAAATGGCTTACAACGATATTAATTTTGCATATGTATTAACAGACACTGTATATACGTATGTACCATAATGTTCTAGCTACATATGTGATACAGACTAAACGTGTGTGAAAACAGCCATGGGTGTTGGTTGAAGGTATTTACTTTTTGCTCTAATGGATGTTCTGTTCTCAGTTTTCTCATATTATTTCAAGGGCGAAATTAACCATTTTTTGACCTAGCCCTCTTTTTTTCACTTCACATTTCAGAGATCCTCACACAATATATACTATAATATGAGGACATAACTCACTTTTTGAATTGCTCCAGTTCAACATCATAGTCATCAGACAACTCCTCTGGCAGATATTAAAAGCAGTGAGGAATCTCTTTACCAAAGATGATGAGTCAGGAAAACGCTAATAACACATTTTGTTAATTGCGCATGCGTAAATCCAAGCTTCCTTGACGTCACCAATTAGGGAAGGATAAAATTGATTACTAGTCAGTTTCAGAGCTACTGTCTTCTCTCCCTCTCCCTACACCTCCTCAACCTTCACCTCCTCCTCTTCCTCCCAGTCCCTCATCTCTGCCTTCATCGTGAAGTCTTCCTTCAGAACTGCCCACTTCTTCTCCTCAGACTTTCTGCCTTTCAGCATGTTTAAGAAACTTCCCTTGTGAATGGTTGGCAAAACTGCAGCATTATAATATACACCGTGAGAGAGTAATTTTAGAGAACACTGCACACAAAAATATCATCCATGTTTAGTAGGGAAACAACAACTGACCTTTGGCCTTTTCCCCCTGATAGGTGCCGGCTGCTGCCTTTACTTTTGTCTGGATCTGTTTGGAGTGGAGTGCATTGAATAGCTGCACCACTGGATGAGGGAGAGAGAGGGTACCATCTTTTTCGATGAAATAATGGAGTATAAAAGACTTCCCTTTTTCTCAGTCTCCATCGACTGATCTTTGATTTCGAACTGAAACTGTTTGAGAAGAAAAACGTGACACCATACATGTTACATCATGTGTATGTGTGAAGAGTTCTCATGGTGCTATATACACAAGTGGAAAAATCATATCTTCAAAATGAAAGGG